ATATGGTCTACAAGTCAATGCGCATTTGGATTTTTTCTCAGACCTATGTTTGATTAGCCTTAAATGTAAATTATCCCACAATTTCTGCTTTGAATCATTTTTAATACTGATTTACAGTTAAATATAATTTATTATAAACAATGAGTTCAACCAATCCTGATACTGAAGTATCAGACCCAAAGTGTTCAATATTAAATAAATAAATAAGACAAAAGAAAAGAAATAATAATTTGAATACAAACATAAAACATATACAAACATGAAATTGTGAAACAATCCAAACATTTTTAAAACTCAGCTATTACTATTTCATACTGTTTCTTTTGGCTGTCTGCTCATTCAAACCAGTGCAACAGCACTAACACTGTGAAACAGAGAAAGGCTTTAGAATACTTGGACTGGAACTAAATAGAAATCACCTGCAATAGTTTTTAAGATGTTATTGGATTATTTCACAATTGTACTGCAATTATATATATTGCATATATTGTGTGTATAGACTTTGGGTCTCTATGCAACGCCCAGGGGCAGTCACAGTTGAAGTCAAGCTCTCAGTAACCTGGGGGAAATCTAAAGATATAATTTAAGAAACTTAGACATGGAGTGTATTTTATGTATATATTTGTATATATTTAAAATGGATTACCTGGGGATTGAAAAATAAAATAAACAAATAAAGGATTTAGTATACATAATTTGAAATAGAAAGAGGACTTTAATGTTGGAAAATGTAAAACTGGAAGTAAATTAATAAAATTAAAAATACAGTAAAATTCTGAGGTGGGTGGGGGGTTAGGGGGCTCATCATTTTTCTACAATTTCAAAACAATAGTCAGATTTCTATATGAACATTGAAACAGGGTTTGCCTTCTTTAATCATTCCTGCTGTTCATACTGGCCATTAAGAGATCCCTTCTTAATGTCCTTCCAATGTAAGTGATGGGGGACAAAATCCACAGTCTGCACTCTGTGAAAAAATGTATTCCAAAGTTTATCTGAAGCTGAGTTCTGACAAGTAACTTGACAAAACAAAACCTCCTTCCCCCAGACTCACATTCTACATGTTGTGGGACACAGAAAGTCACAAAAAGGTGTCAGAGCTGATGGATCATCTGGCTGTGACTTGAAAGACTTCCAGACCTGCAGCGACAGTAGATTCTCCACTGAAGGTGTGAGCAAATGGTCATGGGCCATGCAACAGACACCTAGTGCCATGTTAAAACACTTCTATTGACAAGATCAATTAGCACTAATTTGTGGTGACGGGCACCTCACCCTGTTCTCAAAGGCTCTCTCTCTCTCACACACACACACACACACACACACACACAAATCAACAAAATGGCATTGCTTTGCGTCCCTTTTTTTTGGTCTCTGTGTCCCTGCAAGGCATGGATATCAAAAGGTTTGGATGGTATGGCGATTTAATTTAGTCTAACTCATATTTATGCAGCCACAACAGCAAATGACGAGGATCCATCCATCTGTAAATAGCCTTTCCTCTCCGTGCACACTCTGAGCTAGTTAGGTTAGCAAGCTGCACATAGCTGCTAGTCAATCTACACTGCACAAGCATGTCGATAATATTAAGTCTTTACCTCTGATGCTGAATGTGAATGAATCAATCCAGATGAATATTTAATATAAATTAAATCTGTATTTTTTTCTTTATTTAATATAGACTTAAAGGATTTGTCCTGAGGAGGCGCAGTTACTCAGGAGCAGAGGTAATACCTCTGGCATACCTAGAAACTTAAGAAAACACACGTGGAAAAGCTCAACAGTCTGGCCGGTGTGATTTACTCTCTAATTAATTTGTATCGAATATTTGCAGCTTAAACCAGTGCTGTTTGATTCAATGTGAAGCACCCCTGGGACACGCTCCCCTCCTCATTTCAATCTAGCTCAGTATGTAACGCCAGCCATCACTGACCTAGGAGTCAAAATTGATATGAAACTGGATAAACACGTTAGGAAGGTTAAATCTAGTTTCTTTCAATTAAGACAGCTGGCCAAGTTGAAACCTTTCTAAACAGAATTTTGAGACCGTTATACACGCCTTTGTGACTACTAGACTAGATTACTGCAATGCACTTTTTGTGGGGATGAATGGATCGTCTCTCGCCCGTCTCCAGATGGTGCAAAACGCTGCAGCTCGTCTTTTAAAAGGAACACGTAAATATGAACACATCTCCCCAGTTCTACGTTCACTCCATTGGCTACCCATTTAGGATCGATTTTAAACTTCTTTTACTGACTTTTAAATCCTTGAATGGCCTTGCCCCCACTTACTTATCCAAGCTGCTTCATCCTTATACACCTACCCGCTCGCTCAGGTCAACTGACAAACTTCTCCTGAGAGTGCCAAAAACTTGTCACAAATTTAAAGGGGACCGTGCTTTTGCGGAGGCAGCTTCGAAACTGTGGAATGCCCTTCCTCTTACCATTAGACAGGCTTCCTCACTCCATCTCTCCCATCTGGCTTTTGACCCTTGAGGATGACACTTGGAGCAACTCATTTGTTAGTGTTTTTAATTCATACATTATATGTATGTGATAACCTGTAAATTGATGTTTGTTTTTAATCTTTGTACAGCACTTTTTGCAACTTCGCGATTGCTGTTAAAGTGCTCTATAAATAAATTTTGATTGATTGATTGATTGATCAATGTGAAGCAATGGAGCTGTATAGAGTATAATGTTCAGTTATTCATATGTCACAAAGTACTATTTATTTGCAGTGGATAACTTATATATGGTATTTTAATAATTACTATATGTTTTGCCTCCTTCCACGTGGCTGTTGTGAACTAGGGCTGACCCTGAATAGTCGAAGATTCGATGCTTTGACTGTAAATCTCACAGACGAAGCTTCCCAACGGCGTAATGAAACGAGGATCATACCATTTTGGCGATGGGGGGGTTGTTCAATGTCTGTTGTACGTAAAACTACCAGTTTTCTCCCAGGTTAATATACAGCCTATTATACTATAAATATCAGCATATAGTGCTGTAAATAAAAATGTGAAAAGAAAGAAGCTTTTAATAATTCTGAAAGTGCGTGAATAAATCCAAAATTGTAACCCTAATCCTAAAGGAAGGGGGATCAGTGCGCATGTGTGGCCGTAGCATGTGTGTGTGTGTGCTTGTAGCAGAAGATCCTTAACACTTGCTGAAGAGAGACAACAACAGTGTTGTGCCGAGTTGTCCGCACCTCACGGGACATTCAAATTATTTATCACCAATTGATGAACCACACAAAGAATATTATATTGTTTTTAAACAGTACCGGCAAGGAACCCCGATGTGCATTTGAGGTATAACATAGACATAGCCGACAAAAAGCAACAAATTTAATAATCAATTTGTTCACGACTTCATTCACGCCATAGCAACACCGTCACCTTATAATGGAGTGAAGTGATGTGAACAGTAAAGTTAATAAAACAACACAACATCAGCACTGGTAGTAACACTTTCACAAACTAAAACCTCCAAAGTGTGGGAGCATTTCACTCTTCAGAGACTCTTCACTCTTCACTCAGCCAAAAAGGTTGTTAACTGCTCCTGGCCTGGGAGCAAGTCAGTTATGCCGGAGCATCTGAAGAGGAGGCACGTAACATTGGCACTCTGGATGATGAAGAGTCGTCTCAGAAAGGTAGTTAGCAAGCTAGCTTAACCTTAAAGCCATGTGACTTCACTTTATAAGCTGTAACTGTTTCTATACAGTTTCCCTTGGTCAATTAATTGTTAATGGAGTTTAGAGTAGTAAATAATTAATAAACACAACGGTCCTGTTCACTTTCCAGATGTGCCCTAACTTTACATCATAAACGATGCATCGCTCGTGTTACTGCCAAGTGCACAAGATTGGACACAGGACAATTTCATACTTTCTAAAAAAAGGCGTTTTGTGAGTTGTTGTGTTAGGGGAAACTATGGAAACTTTGTGAAATGTTGTCTACTACAAAATCGTTATTATTGGTCCTCTCTTGTCTTTGTATAAATATAGTGTCAGTTTGTCCCAGTGTGTTGCATTACCGGCGTGTAAGCTGCTCCGTCACTAGACAGCAGATCAGCTGCTCAGACTAGTGCTCTCACAGCGCTGCACACACACAGTTATTTCTTACTGTATACCTGTTTGGTCCATGAAAGGACTGGATTTCAGTGGAACTTTCTGTTGCTGCAGAAGAAACGTATCATTTTATTGTCTTAATTGTTAATTAGCACAAGCCTAAACCAACCTCAAATTTGATTTAAAAGCTGATAGCTAAATCAGTCAAGTGCGGAAAAGTGAATGTCAGTGTGTAACCCCCCATACCCCACCCGCGCACACAATCGCCGCTGCACAAACACACATGATTCGACGAGCACTCGACTATAGGCAAGACTTGACGAGTCTGATTCGACTATGTATACAACTGTTAGTTGTATGATTGCAGAGACTGCACCAGAGTTGTCTGGTGACATGGACACAAACATGGGAATCTTTCCCAGTTTTAGTTAATACTGATTGATTTCCAGTTTTCCAGCAGAACACAGTGAAGTGGTGGGTTATCCAGGAATGCCTCAATAATGCCACCTCATCACACCAGCTTGCATCATGACCTAATGTGACACAAAATATCCCCGACTGCCAGATTTTGTAATAATGTCTGAGTGAGCTGAGGGGCAGAGTAAAGCCACCATTATGCATTTTATTTGTTGTGTCATTTGTCCCACAGGGGGTGTTTCAGAAGCAGTTTTGCCTGCCTGATTTTGCTGACTTGCTCAGATTTTGATGATTTAGTCATTTTGTGATTTATGTTCTTCTACCATTGGTAAGTAGGCTACTTGTTTAAATACCTCTAGTAGTGATATTTATGAAGCTACACTTGCAATCTTGCATTGTGCATTAAGTGATGATGATGACCTTGTATTTGACCGTGAAGTCAAAGCAATCAGTAAAACAAAGTGGTGAACATGTGGATAGGTGAATGGACGGAGGTTGCAGATCTTACCAGGGGGACACAGGCAGCTTTGGGGAGCTTCTCTCATCTCCCGTGTCTTCGGTAGTCGCGCTGCAAGCTTCTACATGAGAGGAACAGAAGTAGAACGTTAGAGTGCACTGACATTGTAACATTTCATGCTCGGTGCAACATGAATGTTCCATGGATACATGGAGCCCTTAATATTTAATCTATCAATTGTCATTTATCATTTGACTTTCAGCTTTTGACTGATTGTCTTTTAAAGAGGTACTTTGTGGCTGATCATGCTAATAATGCAGTAGTTTCTGCTGATATTCAATATGTTAACATTTTACCATGTTATGTCTAAAAAAAGAACTTTTTTCCCAGAAATATATCAATGTCAAATAAGAAAAGACCTTAATTAAGGCCGTAAAATGAAAACCATTATGATAACAGTAATTCATATCCAATACAAAGTCTCACAACATTTAAATGACCATCATGACCATGCGCATGACAGTCCACTCCTAACTTTGGAAAAAGCTGCTGGAAAAACAATTGTAATTTAATGTCCACTTACTTGCTTGTTCCAGAATGGACTGTATTACATGGTTTTTAGCAGATGGAGTATGAAACTGTACATATTAAAACATTCCATGATTCTGAGCACTTTAGGACTTCCTGCCATTGTTGGGAGTGAACTTTCAAGCTCAACTTTTAAGCCAACGTGGACAAGAAGTCCAGTTGTTATGTTATGCTTATTTGCTCTTTGTGCAAAGTAAATTCCCCTAGGGGCATAAAGGTTTCATTCAGTTACAATTTCATGACAACTTCATATGCTGATGGACCACGATATGGTTGAAAGCTACAGTGTTTTGATGCTTTGGCAATGTTGTTATTACATTCATGCCAATAAAGCTAATTTGAATTGAATTGAATTGAATTGTGTTTTGGATTGACTTTAAAACCATCACCAGGGGCATGTAGATGTGTATAGCTAGCAAAATAGATTTTAAACTGTCAGTTGTGCACACTCAACACAAATTGCGACTTACAGTCCTTACAATATATATTTGAAAAATGTGTGCTAGTGTGTTAAGACTGCTCTTTAGAACGTTGTAACCAAAAAACCTTTATTGTTTGCCTGCCAACATTTTTTAGTCTTTCTTGACATATCCAAGAGTGATAGTTCACATCATTAGATCAAAAATAGCCTATGTGTGATTTGTCCCTGAACAGAATACAAAACCATCCAAGTACATTCTCCACAGAATAGCAGTCAGTCCCACTTGTGATGGTTACTAGCAGAGGAATGCCTGGCTGATTAGAGGCCTGTAACAGGTGCTGAAGAGGATATCATAAATGCACAGTAATTCTGAGCACTAATGCAGTATTCTGGGTATTGCCTGGGTTACTGCAGTGTGTCTGTTATCCCGGTATGTGGGAGGAATGCCATGGATCAAATCAGGGATCATTAAGGGGAAATGTGTAACATTTGCTTCCAAAATTGTTGGATGGAACCTGAACCCAATTTCGCAGGGGCTTTTAGACTTTGTTAGATAATCAAACAAGCTAAAAAAAAAAAACAATTAAAAGTAAATGTATGTCCTTCAGGCCTTCCATGAGTATTTTATTCCTTACATATGGAGTTAACTATGGACACATGCTAAATCTATGACTGCTCTGTATGACTGCATGCTCAGACACACATTTCCCTTAAACCACTTTATATTATTCATGAATACTGACAGGAATTTATTTGGTTGATACTTGTAGACCCGACTCTGTTGAGTTGTTGAGAGATAAAGCTGAGTGGAGTGCAGTTCAACAAAGAGCTGAACATATAACCACAACAAAGCTTACAACAGAAGCAGTGCCTGCCAAAGGGAGACAAATATAGTGGACATACTTCAAAGACTGTCATTAGTCTTTAACTCGTGTCTTCACATATGCATTGTCCCACAGTCTAATGACTGTTCTATCTGAATTATACACTCCTTTTGCTCTGTAGGAAACAATAATTTGTTATGCAGATGATACTCAATTATACCTATCTATGAAGCCAGATGGAATCAATCAGTTAGCTGAACTTCAAAATGCCTTTAGGATGTAAAAACCTGGAAGAGCTGCGATTTTCTGATGTTAAAGTCAGAAAAAACTGAAGTTATTATACTTGGCCCCAAACACTTCCGATACACATTATCTAGATAATAGTTACTCTGGATGGCATCGCCCTGGCCTCCTGCACCACAGTGAGAAATCTGGGAGTTATCTTTGATCAGGATATGTAATAAGTAATTTGTCAAAAATAAGGAATATCCTGTCTCAAAATGATGCGGAAAAAGTAGTCCATGCATTTGTTACTTCTAGGCTGGATTACTGCAGTGCAATCGTTCTAAAGATAGTCGGATTCGGCCATGGGAACACCAGGAGAGATGCCTGTGCTCTGGTCACTCTGTGACAGAGACAGAGAGACGTCGTCGGCAGTTGAAGTCTGGGAGAAGATAAGGAAGGCTTGGGTTTGGCTCGCTGGCCATTTAACGTTAGCTGTATTAGTGCCTTATGTTGTTCAACATGTTCAACTTTTCATAAAGGCAACGTGATTGTCAGTCACTGTTGATCAACCGACCCATGGGGTTGTAGCAGCGGAAGTGAAGCTAAATTTTGGTCTGAATATAAAACCCCAACACAAAATGTCTCAGCAACATTGCTCTTATGCCCATGAGCATGCGATGCACCTTAGAATAGCTTAAAACTGCAGTATTTTCCAAGTTTAATGTGAGCTTTAGATGAATGTTTAAGTGTTGGTCGGGAGGTTTGGGGGTCCTCCCCCATGAAAATTTCATGTTTTCCAATGAAAAATATGTCATTTCAAATCATATTGGGCCATTATTTTCAGCATATCTCTGAACAAATACTTGGAAATGCTAGAGCAGATAATAAATAAACAATACCCAAAGATCAGTCAACTGGAGGAACTACAACCTTTAGATCTGGAGAAAGTAATTTGGTTGGTTCTGTTGCTCCACAGTGATTTTACGTTGATGGCAGGAAAACCCTGTTAATATGACCTCAGAATCATTATAGATATGACTGTTCATGTTTGCCTTTTGTGTCTTCATTTTACAGCTTCTGACATTGATCTGTAGATATTAATATAGAAAATAGGCAACATGAGAAACCTCCTCCCTTCTGAGATGCATTTTATTTGCACATTAAAATCCAAAAAGAAATGTCTCCACATTAGCTTAAAAGGACTAGTTTGCATCACTAATTAGCTTTACTAACCTCAGCTCTCCAGTCACCTCTGTCCTTTCTTTTCTGAAACCACTTTTTCAAACTGAAAACTGAAAAATAATTTAATCAGTCTGTACAGGACAGAGCTGCAGGCTACATCAGTTTAGTCTAAGTTTGTAACTGATGTTCTCAACATTGGACAAGTAGGCAGTAATAAAATACAGCTTCCAGTTACTTTCTATAAATTGAGCTAATGTTAAGTTCCATAGCAGCTGTGTAGCTGCTGTAGAAGCTTTCCTGCTCAGCTGCGCAGTCGGAAGGGGAGGGGAGATGTTAGCTAACTTAGCGCTAACCGGCTTCACTTTTCCAGCAGGTGGGAAACAACAGACTTTTCTTGGTCTTGAGAAGCTATCACACTGTAACAGACACCATACATTTACTAGCAGAATATTTTCCTCCGCTCGCATTCACCGTCACTTTCTGCCGCTCGGAAAATCAAACACTCGCTATGCACCTCCTGATTCAGAGTTACGTTGCTCTTATAACACCATCACCCATACGTGACTTATGTTCTGCATAGAACGAGGAGAGTAAGTGAGCCGAGCATTGAGTGCTGCCGTGCTCAAAAAACTCCCTTTTAGCCAGTAGAAACCCTGAGGAGAACCATGACTCAGGTCTAATACTGTTCTGAATTTAAAGACAACCAGGCAGCTAACATGCACACTTCAATATTTATCGCAAGCCATAACGTCATCACAATATTTGACAATGTTATCGCATATTGCAGATTTTCCACATATGGTGCAGGCCTAGTATATAGTGCATTTGGGAGAATGAATCCACATTTCGTGCTTTAGCGAGTATCTGGTGCAGCAGGACGGTGTGTGTGGGATTGAGTCAAAATAAACTACAGTGTGTGTGTTCATGATGATGAAGGAGCATTGCAGCAGTATATATCATTTTTATTTATCGTGATACGTCTACACAGCCTCATACCCAGGCACAATAACTGCGAACAAAGTTTACTAGAAACATTACACAATAAGCTAATGGATTCTGCTGTGATCCAAATTTGACTGGAAGAATAATAAGAACCGACTCTGTGCTGCTGGAATGAGGCACATTTTCCATAACAGAGGAAACAGGTCATCAGTGAAGGAGACAAGGAGGTGGATTCTGGAAAGTGTTGGGTGAAAGTACCATAGACGTGTCGCTTTCTACAAAAGGCCACATCTGTGCTTGTGTCCCATTAATATTGACTGTTTATACACACAGAGCTAAACAAGGCTGCATGGAGATGAAGGCCGAGAGGTCCTCCTTACTGGGCCCTTTTGAAGTCCTCCAGAGCCAGGCACTCAAACTGGACAACAGGACACCTTTGATTGGATTGAACTGTGTCCTTTAGTACATCAACCTCACTATGTTCTATTTGTGAAGACATATTTGAAGGAATACATGTAAATCTGTGACTTTCGTCTGTCATGTTCATTTATGAGTGTCTGGTGTGTTTCTTAGTTGTCCACTCATAGCTGACATGGCCTCAAAAGAAGTAAAAATCTAGACTCGGGCTAACATACAGAGTTCAATACCGCCGTCATCTCCAGCAGTAGGCACCCTGTGCTGCTTTTTCTCATGGTAACTACATCATACTAGCTCTAGTTAAAGGTCATGGGATTGGTAGAAACAGACAAGGGGAAAACAGGACCCCTGGGGGACTGCAATCACTGTGAAAGAGCTTGTTAGTGTAGCTGTGGAAGAGGTCAATGAAAGGGCAGCCCAGAGGGCCACTTTAGGAGCAACAGATGTGAAAGGCCAGAGAGAGCTCCTCACACATTATCTCAGCGAAGATATGATATTTCTAAGACATGTACAACTTGGTCTGGGAATGGTCTAATCCAGTAATGCGCAAGAACATTGTTGAATTGATCCGTCCCAACGAAAGACGTTCTTGTACCACTTTCTAATAAGGCATCCTCTATGAAGGTAGTGGTGGCTTTATTAAACGTCAATAAAGCATCTAATCTATAAGTTAGAAACCATAAGTAAGAACAAGTTTTGGGTTGTAGAAGCCAAGTTGTAGGAAAATCTTTTTGGTGTTCACCCTTTAGATTAACCCTTTCTAGTAAGATGGTTAATGAAAAATTTACTGATGCTTTATAGATCAATTAGAAACCATTAAGAAGAACATGTTTGGGTTTCCCAAGTCTCAAAAAATGAGTTAATCAAGTTATTTGATGTCACAATTCAAAAGGATCAGAATGCAATAATAGCTCATTACTATTTTATAATCCTTACTGAAGCTATGTGAGCTCCTCCTTATCCATAAAAGCATAGGAGACAACTACTAAACCTCCTTCAAGTAATTAAACATTTTATTCAGTAAAGACTAAATATAAAAAATAGTGAACTAACTTATTTATATTAACTAAATTATCGTTCTTTCCTTTCGACCTGACATTATTCATCATCCCCTGAAAGTGACATGAATTAAAGCTGTAAGTCCCATCTGAGGCTGCAGCCTACACCATCATTTTTTACCTTTTAATTCCATGAATTTAATTATTAATAATGACTGTAAGTTAAACCCCATAAAACTGACCAAATACAATAAAGTAATGGGGAATTTTACTCATCCAAAAACCCTTTGACAATGCTGACAAGCACATCATTAATTTGCACCCCAAAATATTTAAGACCCCTGACATAAAACAAAATCCGAACCTTGATAACATCTTAAATGGGTAATTAATGCGTTTGCCAGATATTTCAAATGAAGGCTTTAAAGTGTGAAGTGTTTAGTGTGTTTTAGGGATAAATTCAGGATTAATTAAGTATTAAGAGTATTTAAGGGGTTGTGCCACTTGTAGAATGGGTCTACATTGAAGGGCAACTTATAGTTCAGTCATCCTCTCTTTCAATAAACAAATATTGTAAGCAATATTTTCCTAGTCAACAGAAGCCATATTGCGGTTTCTAAAACGTTTAGATTTTGTTTTTCAGTAAAGCCTCACCTCCTCCAGGATCTGGTCCAATTGGCCCAGGATAACGGGCTCCACCTGTTCCAAAGACAACATCCACGCGGTGAGGTGTGCGTCCCGCTGCTGCTGCTCCAGACTTACTATCCTGGACTGCAACTCCGACGTCCGCACAAAAACCACAATGCAAACTCCAATGCACAGAACAGATACTGCAACGCAAATCGTTACGCCAGACAAATCTCTCCAGTTCCTCCACAGAGGCTGTTTTAAAGATCCCTGCGTGCCGCGAGTCCTCTCTTCACCCGGTTTACCAGCGACTCCCCACTTCTGACCCTCTTCCATTTTACACGTCTGACTTTGGTTTTATCCACAAGGAAATCCCTATCTTCATCAGTTGAATACCAACAGAAGAGGAATCCTGCCGACCCGCAGCTCTGGTGCTTATGAGAGAGTCTCTCTCCGTTGGAGAGGGGAACAGTTTTGCAGATGTCTTTTTTCTTCTTCAAACTGTCTCCAAATCCATTCGCTGCTTCTCCTATGAGCGATCCCGGTCCACCGTAGGTCAGCCTTCAGTGCGCGTCTCTGAAACCCGACCCAGCCTCCCTCCTCTGCACAACTCTGGATGCCGCGGGCTCTTTGCTCACAGTGCATGCTCCTCCTCTGCGAGGCTTTAGGTGCCGGGGCGGGACTGATGGCGGTGCTGCTGACCCCTTTGATCCGCGTAGCCTACTTGGTGAGGGATATTTTTAGGGTTCGCAAAGCCAGGACTCAAACAGTCACACAGCCGGCATACAGAGGCTTTCTGACAGAAGTGCCATTCACCACAACGAACTCATACCAACATGTATATCTGTTCCTTTCAGTGCATGAAATTGGAATAAGTTACCTTTGCACATTAAAATAATAAGAAGGGTGGGTAGGTGTGAGCCAAGGAGAAGAGGGATAGAGAGCTAAGAAGAAGTTAGCGTGTAGCGCTTGGTGATGGCAGAGGTGTGTTTTTGGCATTGGCTATGGCCCACAGTAGCCTGTATCTTGTTCAGTAATAAAGAGCGAGTAAACCAGCTATCATCTCATAGGTTCTTATTCAGGGACGCTACAATATTCTGTTCTAAATCCCAAAAGCCAGCACATCACTGGATCAGTCCTCCTTTCAGTTTACCTTCTTGTTGGAACCAGTTACAGAAAACAACTAAACTATCAACATTTGTCTCTTATTCAAAAAAATAATCTCCAACACATTTACTGAAACCTGTAACTGCTTCCTGTGATGATGATTTATGATACTCCTGCCCATACATTTCTTCTTCTGTTTGTCCCCTGTACTGCCCTTTATATTGTTTTTTTGGTGGTGCGACAGCAGATACTTCTGTAGGGTGAACAGGCTGCGGCTCGGTGGGTGCCAAGTAAAAGCAATGATACTTCATTAGGGCTCTGGTGTCAATCAGGATGCACAATACATAAACATCATCCAAACAAAGACATAAATATAAACATGGTAAATGGACTGTACTTGTATAGTGCCTTTCTACTCTTCCGACCACTCAAAGCGCTCAGGAGTAACAATTAAAAAAGAACACGAAACAGATGCAAACTACACATGGTCCATTTAATATATATCACAATTGTAATCTTTATTAAATAAACAATAAGTTTGTTGTAACTAGTTAGTTAGTTGATGTGGAGCATATTTTAACTACTTCATATAATGTTGGATAATTTAATCTACCGTACCGTTCAAAAGTTTGGGGTCACCCAGACAAGTCACACTTATTCATCAAATGAGTTGCAAAATTAATAGAAAATATAGTCAAGACATTGACAATGTTATAAATACTGATTTTTATTTGAAATAATAATTTTGTCCTTCAAACTTTGCTTTCACCCCACGCTTCCTGAAGCACCTCCCACAAGTTAGATTGGCTTGATGGGCACTTCTTACGTACCATACGGTCAAGCTGCTCCCACAACAGCTCAATAGGGTGGCTGCGCTGGCCACTCCATTACAGACAGAATACCAGCTGACTGCTTCTTCCCTAAATAGTTCTTACATAGTTTGGAGGCGTGCGTTGGGTCATTGTCCTGTTGTAGGAGGAAATTGGCTCCAATCAAGCGCTCTCCACAGGGTATGGGACGGCGTTGCAAAATAGAGTGATAGCCTTCCTTATTCAAAATCCCTTTTATCTTGTGCAAATCTCCCACTTTACCAGCACCAAAGCAGCCCCAGACCATCACATTACCTCCACCATGCTTGACAGATGGCGTCAGGCACTTCTCCAGCATCTGTTCACTTGTTCTGCATCTCACAAATGTTCATCTGTGTGATCCAAACACCTCAAACTTAGATTTGTCTGTCCCAATCTTCCTCTGTCCAATATCTGTGTTTTTTTGCCCATCTTAATCTTTTCCTTTTATTGGCCAGTCTCAGATATGACTTCTTCTTTGCCACTCTGCCTAGAAGGCCAGCATCCTGGATGCCTCTTCACTGTGGACGTTGAGACTGGCGTTTTGCGGGTACCATTTAATGAAGCTGCCAGTTGAGGACCTGTGAGGCGTCTATTTCTCAAACTAGAGACTCTGCTGTACTTGTCCTCTTGCTTAGTTGTGCACCTGGGCCTCCCACTTCTCTTTCTGTTCTGGTTAGACCCTATTTGTGCTGTTCTCTGAAGAGAGTAGTATACACTGTTGTAGGAAATTTTCAGTGTCTTGGCAATTTCTCGCATGGAATAGCCTTCATTTCTCAGAACAAGAATAGACTGTCGAGTTTCAGATGAAAGTTCTCTTTTTCTAGCCATCTTGAGAGTATAATCGAACCCACAAATGCTGATGCTCCAGATACTCAACTAGCTCAAAGGAAGGCCAGTTTTATAGCTTCTCTAATCAGCACAACAGTTTTCAGCTGTGCTAACATAATTGCACAAGGGTTTTGTAATCATCAATTACCCTTTTAACATGATTAGCTAACAAAATGTACCATTAGAACACAGGAGTGATGGTTGCTGGAAATGGGAATCTGTACACCTATGTAGATATTCCATTATAAATCAGCTGTTTCCAGCAACAATAGTCATTTACCACATTAATAATGTCTAGACTGTACATCTGATTAATTTAATGTTATCTCCAATGAAGAAATGCTTTTCTTTCAAAAAATAAGGACATTTCTAAATGACCCCAAACTTTTGAACGGTAGTGTATAATAATGCATCTTATTTTATAAACTGATCATGTAATTTTCATGTAAATTATTCATTGATAAATTGTTCTGTTTTTATGTGGTGGCTACCTCATGACCCAATGCTAATTGTTCCCTAAAATTGATAGGTGTACTACCCTTAATAAAGTGTTTTCTGTTCTGCTTGGCTCGAAGCTGATTGAAAGACCAGTCAAATCAAGATGGTTGACCTCATGCAGTGGCTCGTCAAATGCATTTTTGAAAAAGCACATGGGTAGCTTTCTTAATGGTCTCAGGCCACCGCAGAAGGCTTTTTAAAATGCAAAGAAATATTTTCCTGTCTTGTGTACTGTAATTGAAGTCTGACCAAAAGATGTCCCATTGAATGTCAGCCACATCTTAGGACACCATGTTTCTGCAGAGGTTTATGACGGTGGCTTGATGGGCAGGAATCACTACGTAATGACTCCATGTCCTTGTAATTATAATGTGGCTTGGTTTGGCCAGATGGCTTTGTATTTCTCAGGGCTGAAAAACACACTTTGAAAGGTACGGTTATTGCAATCATGGGATGCTTTTAAATTAATAGTCACTAATCCTGCTGTTAAAGCTGTGGTAAAGATTGTAGTTGTAAAGTTACTTGAGAATGAGTTTAGCATTTCCTTTAGCAGAACTACTTTTACTTTTACTTTTCAGCAGAAACATTTTTCTTTTATGAGGGAGCACCATAAACAGTCTACACTCACCTAAAGGATTATTAGGAACACCTGTTCAATTTCTCATTAATGCAATTATCTAATCAACCAATCACATGGCAGTTGCTTCAATACATTTAGGGGTGTGGTCCTGGTCAAGACAATCTCCTGAACTCCAAACTGAATGTCAGAATGGGAAAGAAAGGTGATTTAAGCAATTTTGAGCATGGCATGGTTGTTGGTGCCAGACGGGCCGGTCTGAGTATTTCACAATCTGCTCAGTTACTGGGAAAAACATCCAGTATGCGGCAGTCCTGTGGGCGAAAATGCCTTGTTGATGCTAGAGGTCAGAGGAGAATGGGCCGACTGATTCAAGCTGATAGAAGAGCAACTTTGACTGAAATAACCACTCGTTACAACCGAGGTATGCGGCAAAGCATTTGTGAAGCCACAACACGCACAACCTTGAGGCGGATGGGCTACAACAGCAGAAGACCCCACCGGGTACCACTCATCTCCACTACAAATAGGAAAAAGAGGCTACAATTTGCAAGAGCTCACCAAAATTGGACAGTTGAAGACTGGAAAAATGTTGCCTGGTCTTATGAGTCTCGATTTCTGTTGAGACATTCAGATGGTAGAGTCAGAATTTGGCGTAAACAGAATGAGAACATGGATCCATCATGCCTTGTTACCACTGTGCAGGCTGGTGGTGGTGGTGTAATGGTGTGGGGGATGTTTTCTTGGCACACTTTAGGCCACTTAGTGCCAATTGGGCATCGTTTAAATGCCACGGCCTACCTGAGCATTGTTTCTGACCATGTCCATCCCTTTATGGCCACCATGTACCCATCCTCTGATGGCTACTTCCAGCAGGATAATGCACCATGTCACAAAGCTCCAATCATTTCAAATTGGTTTCTTGAACATGACAATGAGTTCACTGTACTAAAATGGCCCCCACAGTCACCAGATCTCAACCCAATAGAGCATCTTTGGGATGTGGTGGAACGGGAGCTTCGTGCCCTGGATGTGCATCCCACAAATCTCCATCAACTGCAAGATGCTATCCTATCAATATGGGCCAACATTTCTAAAGAATGCTTTCAGCACCATTTTGAATCAATGCCACGTAGAATTAAGGCAGTTCTGAAAGCGAAAGGGGGTCAAACACAGTATTAGTATGGTGTTCCTAATAATCCTTTAGGTGAGTGTATGTTCAATAGCAAGTGGCCCTGTAGAGTGTGGTGAAGTGGTTGAGCACAAGGTGTAGCGACAAGCGGGGGCATTCCTGTGAAACTGTCACGGTTGTGCTTGCCTCACGCACACGCCCGTGCACTGCTGAAGTTGAATTGTCTTGAAATTTTTGTATGTGATGCGCAGCACAAATCATTGGAAGAGAGACCGATCCTCGCTATTAATGAGTTTCCAGAATCTATTACTAAATAGTTATCAGGACATCAACTGGAGGGAATTCACATGGCAGACCATCAACACAAAACTAGGTATAAATCAGGTAAAGCTATTTAGCCTATCATTTTAGCTTAATTTAAATAGGCTACAGCTGTGTAGCGCACAGAAGCTGTTGCCATGGTTACTAAGACCGACATCTTCCCCAATACTAACCAGCATGCAGTGTGTAGCTCTGTCTCTGGTCCACTTCGCTATGGCATTTAATTATTTGCTAGTGTTGCTTTTGTTAATCTACTTCTCCCACACGCTGCATCCAGTGTAGTCTGCCGAAGCCTCCCTCAACTGCTTGTTTGGGTGGGTGATTTGC